ATTTTAATCTCGCCCTTCCCTCTTCTTCAACTTGAATTGTTTCCGATGTTCTTTTTTGAACGCATGTTCGCTTAATTTTTCGAAAAGCAGTCTAATCTGCTGTTTGGAGAGTTCCTTTGGTGTCAAAATACTTCTACTAATTTTTCAGACACTGATGAATACACTGACTCTCCAGCACGCAGCATCGTCCCTAATCTCCGTGATGCTGATTTGTCATCAAGAGCAAGGATAGAAGCTCTCGAGAACATTATAAGAGAAGCTATGAGGGAACCGTATGCATGGCCTTTCCTAGAGCCTGTGGACAAAAAAGAGGTAAGCAGTTATTCGTTGTCTCCTTCCATTCTGCCAATTGCTTCATTTCCCACATTCTGGCAAAATGAAATTGCTATGCTGGTGGCGGCCGACCTTATTTGCCAATGCAAAAATTATAAAATTCCTCCTTCGTTGGTCAAAGTTTTCTTATCTACATTTACTTTCATTTCCGTTCAGGACTTTCGACGATTAATTGGCATTCATTTTTATCAAGATCTGTGAGTGCAACCTTTTAGGTTCCGGACTACTACGATGTGATCAGCCGACCTATGGATCTTCGCACAATGATCAACAAAATTAAGCAACATGTCTACGACACCCCTGAAGAAGTTCGGTCGGATGCCTACCTCATCATAGCGAACTGTAAAGAATACAATGAGGAAGGAAGCGAAATATTTGATGTGAGTGATTAAGTAGCTGAATTAATGGAGGACCCCGCGATAAAATCGGAGGTCAAGTGAGGGAAATACACCTAGATGAAAGGCAGTTGGCGTCGCTTAGGGTGCGGAACGATGCATGTTTCCTACATAAAGGTATGCCCCCTGGCCTAACAGGGCCTTTCCCGCGGTATACAGGTCCGCCGATGGGTAATTGTTTGCCGTTTGTCTCTAGCCGTTTAGCAGAGAGCATTAGCATTGAAAAATGCAGCACGATGAGAATAGCACCAATACGGAAATCAATGGGCAAAAATTTTAGCCCGCTCGACTACAAATGTTTGACTTGCTTTCCAGACAGAAATTCATCCACTTCTCTCGGTAACGTCCTCTCTGAGCCTTGTGGCGGTTTTGGATTTTGACTCCGCCCACTTCATTGCATCCCACGCTCTCCCTCACTTTGATCTTCCCCGTCGTCACCCCACCATTGCTCGGAATCAAGTCTAGTAGTGGGCTATACCCATTTCGGCGTGCGCCTGCCTACCAGTAGCATTTGATCTTTTCTTTCTTGCCAGCCTCTCCACTAGTTTCCCAGAACTCGGACTGTCAATCGATATGCGTCTGCTGGCGACCTTCGTCCGCCCCTATCTACTTTTTTCCACCTCTCTGTGACTTCTCGAACTATAATTTGGAGGACTGGTGGGAACGCTCTACTGTAGAGTGAAAATCGCTTAAGGAAAAGACAACGGCTCGTCGAGGATTCTTTCACGCTCTCCCACGCGGATGCTCACTCTCGCCAGCTGCGAGCCGTCTGTGCTCTCCGCGCATTCATTCACTCTCGACACTACTCTCGCACGGTAGGGAGCCATGGTCAAGGAATTCCTGGACCGTTATTCACCCTGGCTCTCCACCTCGATACACGCTCCGCCCATTATAGGCCGACCTTCGCTCACGCTGGAAACACCTTTAGCATTGCTTTCCTTCACCATCTTTGTGCCTGTAGGCTTCCTCTAACCGAGTTATGATTTTTTTTCTTCAAACACAGCCTCTTCCGAGCATGCCCGGACCAGGTGAGGCTTTGAGTTTTACTTGGCTTGTCAATGCACATCTCTACCCATTTTTTACCATTCTCCAGACTATTTTGAAATCGAATTTGAAATCTTTGCCGGCTCATTTCGATGCACGCCACGCCCTCTGTGGGCGGGGCTCCGCTTCAGCTGATGTGTGTTTTGTACTTCGTGAGACCTTGCCCACCCACCCACACTTGACCCGGTCCCTCCAGGCGGATCCCGAGGAGCTAGGGAATTTCGTGACAGACACCTTGAAAGAGCGACAGACCGATAGATGAAGCGTTTCATAGTAAGTAGGATACTTTCCTGATTGGTGATTGCTTCTCTGATAACTTCAGTACTGGTACTGAAGATTTATTTTTTCAAATAAAAGAGCGCATATGGACAACTTCAAAACAGAAAACTGCCATAACAAAGCTCCTCCGTCTGGAAGCAGGCCCAATATGGCGCCGTGCTGTCGTTGTAGGGTTAGATCTGAGTGGCAAAGATACAATTATAGCTGTCTATTATTCCAGTGCGCAGAACAGCTCGAGGATTTCTTCCAAGATCGTTTTCGAACGTTCTTCGATGAAAAGAAGAAGAAGAAATGAGGAGGAGATGATTCGAATTTATGAATGCTTTAAAATGTACTTTATCTCAGCTCTAATACTTTGCAAAGAATGAGCTTTTTACCCTCGGGGTTTCCATCATTGGTCGAGAACTCGGTTTACACTGTTCCTATTTTGCTGTTACTTTTACGTTTTTGAAAGCTATTAACACAACTGGTTGTTTTATTGTGTATTTTGTCCAGAGGGCGAAGAAACTTAAGAAACTTGATTATTCGTTGTGATTATTCTGTCTTTTCCTTGTGTAATCTTCAACTTGTCAATGTGCACTAATGGTAGGTTGTATGACTACCATATTCGTGAGGCATAATATTTCCCTTTATAGCTGTATGTACAGAATTCCTCGGTATGTTTCACAATCGATGTGAAGTTTCGTCATTTTCAATCTCTGCCTCTCACCCATCAACTAAGACCCTAATAGAATATTTGCAGTTGCTGTTTCCGATTACTACCATGTGCAGGTGACTAACATGCAAATGTGTATCCTTATAGGTCTCATTTTTATCTACAGGTTTTACTTTATACATGCACATATACTTTATACTGTATATTACAACGGGCGCTACGGATTCATATCCTGGCAGTACGCGTTTTTACGGCCCAATTTTCCATCCGCTTTTCTCTAATCTCTCAATAACATATGTTAATATTGAGAAATGAAACGTTTCTCTGTTGAGTTTGCCTTGTGTAAGCGGTACCTGTTTCGAATGGGTACGGCTTTGTAGAAAGTAAAGACGGTTCAAGAGAGAGGGGAAAGGTGCTTTACCAGAGTCGAATTCAAGAAAGCACAAATGCATTGCAAGGAAGTCATCCTACGCCATGGAAGAGCACCCACAAAGGCACTAGGAGACCAGGCATCTGTATTCAACCCAGAAATGGTAGAAACTCCAAGGAAGCAATATGTTCAACCCCACCCCATGACCCTACCTAATTCCATTCCACCATGCTAAGCTTAGCCCCTCAAAGGAATCCTCGGAAAAATCGTGATCCTATCTCACCCATAATTCACTGGCTTGAGACCCATCGTTCACGATAAGAACGAAAAGAACAAAAAATTGCATTTGTTTTGGTAAAAAATTCGAAAAACGAAAGGGCTGCTACGCGTTCAAATTCCCGCCGGACATCTGTCACAAATCTGGCGCAGGATGGGAGTGCTTCACTATAAACATTTTGGCTTCTATAATTGCCATTAACATCTCACAACTCTACTTGCATCCTATCGATCGATCGAATTTGTTCTAGACCTCCGAAGCAAGTCAAACCTGCGTTGCGCAGTTTTCAATGCCACGTTGCGCAGCAGAAAACATTCCAGCTCGCGATGCGACCGCTGTGTCTCGCCCATACAGTGTGCGGGGATCTCTCGAACGTGCCGTGCGACGCGCAACCGCAAATTGATCTTTTCAAAAGTCGCAGCTTTAACCGATCTTTCATTGCGTCGCATAAACTGAGCCAAGGCGGACTTCTTTCCATGCCCCGCCTTTGGTCCCGCCCCACTTACCTTCGATTGTCCATAGAGTGTGGTTTTTGTAAGTTTTGTTTTTCTTCGAAAACTGAATCTTTGTGCGTGAAACTTTGTATGTTGTCTCTACAGTGATCACAGCTCGCATAGGCGTGTAGGGGAAGAACGCAAGATTTTTCCGGGAGGATTCCTTTAAGCTTGTCCTTCCTCTTCCAACCCTATGTTAGGACTGGCACAGGGTTAGGGCTAAGCTGGAGTCAATGTGGGGGAGATGCCCTCGATAAGCCAGATTATTTCGCTATTCGCCAAAATAGAATTACATCCCACTACAAAAATTGGCACTTCTATGGCGGTACCAACTGTCACAGCGTATGCCTCCCTATTGGATGACTCACAATTTCTTCTACGTTATCTATCGCGAAAAAATAGAGCACTGACGGCCAAAGGATGGCGGCTACATGTGCGTAATTCCAGGGCATGGATGCTCAAGTCTTGACAAGGGCCATCCACCAGCAGTCTGAGCAACTGCGAAATATATGTGCGTTCGCTAGGATATGAAAGCGACTCTCCGCCTTTCGCTACGAAAACTCAGGTCCACTTCGGATCAGTGTGAACCTGAGGTTCTCATAGTGAAGAAAGTTCCACGCTGCGGAGAACAGAAAAATCGCTTCCTGTCCTAGCGACCCCATCCCCTGCTCCAAGGTTTAGTTTAGTTAGGTCCTCACTTCCACCTTGGGATCTGAACCTGAGCGTGCGTTCTCCGTCATCTGTGGGCTTTACCATTCGTGCCCATTGAGGACATTCAAGAGTCGTAAACTCCACGGCGGCCAGTGCTCCTCAAAGACTTTAAGACCGACGTCATAGTCGGCGACGGACCAAGCGATGGAGCGATCGCGATCGCTCCATCGCTTGTCCGTCGCTTGCCAATCGCTCTCGGTCGAGCGATTGGCAAGCGATTGCGCAATCGCTTGCAAAGTGCACAAGCGACGGGCGATTGGCCCCGCCCCAGTCGATGCAGTCGGCTGCGGTATCGATCGAGCAGAGCCATCGGCCGTCGCTTGTGCACTTTGCAAGCGATTGCGCAATCGCTTGCCAATCGCTCGACCGAGAGCGATTGGCAAGCGATGGACGCGATCGCGATCGCTCCCTGCTTAGGTCCTGCCAGAATTGACGTACCAAGTCTGTCGGTCAGGCCCCACTCTACCATGGAGGATTTGTCGTGTGATGAACTCGCCCGCCATTTTTTCTCTGCAAGTGTGGCGGAGACTTCGCTATACTCACGAGTCTCGTCCGAGGACCGGAATTTGCCTTCAGGTTGTGCCGAGGGATGCCTCATACTGCTGCCCATTGACGTGTTGGTGTTTCACAAAGTGAATCACTACGCCGACGCCTAGCTAACCAGAAACACACTCCCATTCCATTTATGCATCTAAAGATCAATACCAGTTAGTTTGTTCGCTTTTTGACTAATCAAATGAGTCCCGCGATAACAACACTTCTTGACTCGACTATGACCTGCATTCCCAATCTTAATCTGAAGGCAAGTTCTTAATTTAAGTGGTTGAATATTAATGTTCTGTCCCGGAGTCGACTGATCTGAATGTTTAAAAACAATGTGACTCTAAATTATTTACGCAAGAAGCTCAAAAACTTTCTGCAACAAATATTGCTAGAGCTTCCCAAAACTTTAAAAGCTTTTCTTGGCGAGGCTTTCGGCCTTTAACACCGTTGTCAAGGTCTGAAAGAGGCTTGAAAGAGGTACTATAAGGTCACAATAACAGTTAAAGTAAGGAATTCCACCACAAAATATCCTACCCACACTGTGGTTCACTAGGACAGAAAGCGACATTTCGCTTTTCGCTCGCGAAACATCGGGTGTGGTTCACTAGGACAGAAAGCGAATTTTTCGCGTTTCGCAGCGCGAAACATTTTTCGCTGCGGGAACCTCAGGTCCACCTGATCATCAGTGGACCCGAGGTTCCCGCAGCGAAAAATGTTTCGCGTGCGAAACGCGAAAAAGTTCTAGTGAACCACACTCTTCGAAAATCTTTCGTTCGGTAAGCTCAGTCCACCGCTGATACGTAGCGAGACTGGAACTCTCGCAGCGCACTGCGAACGAAAGAAGTGGCTTCATACCGTACGATTTTTAAGCTGGACAATACCTACGCTAAGCGCGATGCTCCAACAAGGCTTTCAAACTTTCGGGAACCTCTCCCATTACTTCTGCAGCTCTTTTGTGAAAGTTTTTGAGGCGCAATTTGGTGACCACGAGGGAGGGAAACCCGTAACCCGTAACATTGCGTCAGATTTACGGAAAAACTCTCAGACTCAATTAAAGGAGAGGAGGAATCCGAGATGCGCAAAAGCGTCTGTTGCATCAGGAACTCAGCTCGTCCTCGTCTAAGAAAGTGTGAGCTTAGGGCCTTTTAGAGACTCCCCCTCCCCCGGAAGCTGCAGTGTTTTCGAATGAATCTTTTGCAATGAATCGTTTGGAGTTCCACATTGTATTTTACACATTGAAAGTGGCTGTGCTAATTTATAATAGCTTATAGTATTCCTACAAGCCTAATTGATTACACCTATTATATACACATCGTAAGGTTTAGGAACAGAAAAACATGATTGATATCTAAACATGGATAACAACTGAAGCTCAGAAATCCATTGATATCACAAGAAACATGCTAAATAGCCAAACCAAGCGCTCCGTAGACCCTCGTTCCTCTAGCGACGATTGGCGCCAGGTCAAGATGTGGACGAGTTCTTGGGTCACCGCTTGCGTGCGAGATGACGACACGACTTTTCCGGCCTTTTGTGCTTTTCAGTATGTTCACCGCATTTTCTTCGATGCCAGGTTTTTAAATGTAATTGTATTGTGGGTTGGATCGGGACCTGACACTGTTATGTTCTAGATAGTAGAAAATAGGGTTTCTGTGGCAAAGTGGAAATACCAACTGATTAACTGCTAGCGGTTCCGTGATTTTAGCTTTAAAAGCCTCGTATTAGCATTTTTCAAATGGTTTTATGCTCTTCAATTGAATGGGAAAGTTTTCTTGAAGTTTCCTGTGTAAAAAAATGATTCTCTTTTTGCCATCTTATCGAACCGATTGTGCTCGCCTAATAATGCAATAGTTTTGTTAGGTAGAGTGTGGGTATATGCCTATAGTAAATCAACAGCAATGTAAACCATACGATTATTTGTATGGAAACAGTGTCTTTGTAGAGCAGGAGGAGTGGGCGGCGTGTTACACAAGTTAAGCTACCATGATCTGTGATCTTTTCTTGGGTGTTTTGTTTAGCGAGTGAGTTTTTGAGGAAGACGGTAGTTCAGATTTAGTGTTGAATTCACCAGGATAGGTTTGACGAAGAATTGCAAATTAGAAGGAAACGGGGGGAGGTGCTCAGCATAAATAAGGAATGTTTTGTTGTTTATTATCTGCTGGCGGCCAGTGTTGAATGTTACTGCAAATTTCAAAAAAAAAAAAAAAAAAAAAAAAAAAAAAAAAAAAAAAAAAATAAAAAAATA